GTTGTGATAGGTGGTGGTGGTGATGCTGGCGATGTATGTCGGTTTTGTGTTGCCGATGGTGGAGGTGGCGGCCGCGGCGTCGCTGTTGTTTATGGTGGTGGTGATGAGGAGTGGCACTGCTGTGTTGGTGTTACTAGTTCTGCGGCTTGTCGGCTGAGGTATGTTTTGCTTGCGCCGCCGACCCGTTGTTGCTTTTGCAGCGTCTGGTGTTGTCATATCGGACGGAAACAAGAGTTAGTTGGAGGTGTTGGAGGAGGAGAAGGAGGAGGAGGACGATTAATCCCCTATCTCGCACACACAACAATAGAATCGAGATAGGCGAGTTGGCGCAGGAAAATAGGAGCAAGCAGTGTCGTTTGGTAGTGGCGGCATCTTATTCTTGGCAACTGTACCCTATCAAGCCCGAGTTACATTTATACGGTTTGGAGGTTTCGTAAGAGATTTGGGGACTACGTGTAAAACTTTTGTGGAGGTATTTATTTTAGAGGTTTGGAGGTTTCGTTTTAAGGGTTTGGAAGTTTAGTTGAACGCAGCAGACCCACGTGCGCGTCTGGATTATCTGCGTGAAATTCCGTGCTTGTGTGGTTCGACGGGCTGTTCGATTCCTACCTCCTGGCCAACACCACTATTTCCACGGAGCTTGCCAGCACCACCACCGCTATCACTGCCACTCCATCACTTTAAACAACATCCCTACCGCACAGCCTCTCAAAAACAGTTATTGTCGACGGCACGCTCAATATTACCTCTTCTTGCTCCACGGCACCCTTAAAACAGGCCCAGCTCACGCGGGTGGAGCAAGAGCTGCAACATCTCCGAGGCCGTGAAGGCAACGGCCTTTCACCCTCCGCAGCAACCAACCCCGTAACAACGCCGTCCGCAGCGGGACCCGCTGCTCCGGGCGGAGTTGGAGGAGGAGGAGGCGTCAGCCACGCCGAGGCGGTTGATGCGGAGCTTACCGAGCTGACGCGCGTGAACTCGCAGCTGCGGGGGGAGCTGGTAGCCCGGTCGTCGGCGTGGAGGGAGGAGAAGGTGAGAGCTAGGGGGGGGGGGGGGGGGGGACTCCAAAGCGTGCATGCCCTGGTCGTTAAAA